GGGGGGGGGAGTGCCTCCGGGTGCACAGCGCTTGGGGGATGGCGCAGGCGCGCGGCTATGGGGGGAGCGCCACCCCCGGGCACACAAGTGTCCCCGCCCTCTGGCGCCTGGCAGGCGAATGGCCACGCCCCCTGGCGCCCGGCAGCCTCAGATGGTTGGGGACCACTGCTCTAGGGCAGTGTTTCTCAAGCAGTGGTACAAGTACCCTTAGGGGTACTCGAGAGAAGTCTTGGGGGAGGGCAGTGTACAGAAACACAACTGAAATTTGAAGAAAATTGAATTTTTGTTTTAAGTTTTACAGCCTTTTATTATTTTTGTACTTTTTACACCCAAAAATTTCATCACCCACCCAGCTACGATTAAGTTGTTTAAACGAATGTGTTGCAATGGTAGAAAAAAATTTGTGTGTCTGAAAACTATAGGTTCTGGGGGGATTTTTTTTTTGAAAGGGATACTTTATTAAACAAGGTTGAGAAACACTGCTTTAAGAAACATTATAAAATAATTACTCCAGAGAAAGCTCTGGACATAGCATAGACTCAACAATTGCTAAAAATTCTGATCAGTGAAAAGAACAAACCCTGAAAAACAGAAGCTCTAGACATGACTTTAAGATTTTGGTTTTCACATTTTGGAAGACAAGGACTATATATTAGTATACACTTGGTTCATGTTTGGAGGGTGTGTTTTCTAGATGCAAGACTAGAAATGTTCTTAAATGAAAGCTTACTTTCTGCAGAAATTGGTGAGTGAATCTCCACCCTCCAATTTTTGGAAAAAGTTTAATTCTTGCTAGTGGGAGCTGGAATAGAGGGTTTGTCAAACGATGCTTATATTATAGAAACACTAATTTTTGGTAAGATATAAGTAATGTCATCAGCCTGAAGGCGAGAAGACTGATAGCCAAAATCAGGTGTGGATTTGTAAATTGAATAATAAATGAAGTTAATGGAGACATGGTATAAGTTACATGAGGAGAGGATGCTGTGAAAAGCAGTAACTTTTCTTCCTCTTTCTCTGCCGTCTGTGCGTGCACGTGCATGTGCGCGCGCGCGCACACACACACACACACACACACACACAGATATACCTTAAGTCAGGGCTTCTCAACACGTGTCCTGTGGGCTGCAAGTGGCCTGCATCCTGTTTGCAGCCTGCGGTGCAGTTTGGATTTACGTAGGACTCAACATGCGGCCGACAGGTGGGAGCCAAAATAAAAAAAAGTAGCCAATATAATGGTCTTCTGTTGATATGTGTTTTAGTAGTTAAATTCCTGGACTGTCACTGCTGTTATATGGGTGGAAATTCGATAAATATTGCATTTTATTAATATCAGCAGAACTGACTTAAATGGGGTCCTGTGTGTTGTGTAGTCTTGCCTTAATCTTTGTATCTTGCCAGTGTGAAAGAAGCTATTTGCATATATTTGCATAAATCTGCAACCACACTTAATTTGCAGCCCTCAGCATGTGCTGTATCATTGTCACCTCCGGAGCTTCCAAAGTTGAGTAGCCCTGCCTTAAGTGTTTGCTTATCTCCACCACATGGTGTCTTTGACTCTCCTCAAGGATATCTCACCATCAACTGAAGTTCAGTGTGGTTCAAACAGAGCTCCTAATCTTTCTCAGGGTACGTCTACACAGCAATGTTATTTCAAAATAACTAGTGTTATTTCGAAATAACTTAGTCCTCGTCTACACAGCAGGCAGTTATTTTGAAATAATATCGAAATACTGTCAAACTGGAGGACTTCTTATTTCGAATCCTGTGATCCTCATTTTATGAGGACTCAGGGAAGTCAGAGAAAGAGTGCTCTATTTCGAATTAAGTGCTGTGTAGATGCTCCCAATTTCAAAATAAGCTATTTTGAAAGAAACTACACAATTGACGTAGCTCAATTTGCATAGCTTACTTCGAGTTAAACCCTGCCCTCAAAGTCCTTTTCGCTTTTTCCTTTCTTGATCACTGTGGACAGCATCACCATCCTGCCTGTCACTCATGCCCATCATCTGTTTTTCATATTTGACCTCTCTAGGTCCTCAAATCTAGGTTATGTCTAAATCTTGCTGATTTTTTTTTTTTGGTATAACATCTATAAAGCATGGCTTTTCTTATCCATTCATACAGTTAAAACTCTTGTCCAATCTCTTCTCATCTAGTCTCTCAATTATTCCAACTTTTTCTCTCTAGGCTTAACCAATGCAACCTTGCCCTGTTGATATCTATTCAGAATGGTTCTGCAAAGATCATTTTCCTACCCCATTACTTTGACTCCGTTACCTCTTTCTGTGCATCTCTCCACTGGCTTCCCCTTTCTCATGTCAAAAATAAGTTGCCTATAAACATTTTCAGGACCCATCACAGTCAATCCCCACCCTATCATCTCATTCAGTATTGATCTATTGACCAACCTCTCCCAGTGATGCTAGCCTCCATTGCCCACTTTGTAAATTTTCAAACAAATACCTGTGTGTTTTCTCTCATGCTACCTCTCACGCTTGAGGCACTCCCCATAACCATCTTTAAAGCTATATCTTTTTCCTCCTTAAAATGTCTTTGCTGTGGTGTCTTCAAAAATGTTGGCAACACTTAGGTTGCTGGTGTACTGAACACTGAAAGTTAAGTGACCCAACTACATTACAGAGGGTATGTCTAGACTACATTCCTCTATTGCCAGAGGGATGTAAATTAGACATACCGAAATTGCTAATGAAATGGGAATTTAAATATCCCGCACTTCATTAGCATAAAAATGGCACTGCTTTTTGTCGCCACAGAGCTTTGGTGATGAAAAGCGGCAGTCTAGATGCAGATCTGTCGCTCACTAAAGCCTTTGACGACAGATCCTGTATACCTCGTACGAGGCATAAGGGATCTGTTGTCAAAGACTTGAGTGAGCAACAGATCCACGTCTAGACTGCTGCTTTTCGTCGCCAAGGCTCCGGGGCAACAAAGCGGTGGCCATGTTCATGCTAATGAAGTGTGGGATGTTTAAATTCCTGCTTCATTAGCAATTTCGGTATGCCTAATTTACATCCCTCTGACGACAGAGGAATGTAGTCTAGACATACCCTTAGGGTTATGAAGAAGCAACATCCCTGCGTTATGTAACTAACTCAACATAACTCCTGATGTATACTTCACTAGGTTAATGGAACAATTCAGGAGTTGGATTAACTACAGCAATGGGAAAACCCTCGTGTTGCTGTAGTGAGTGTTTGATCTGAAGCACTACAGCAGCACAACTGATGCATTAGAGCTTTACATTTAAACATAGACTGTAAGTTCTCTGTCTTTGTGGTCTTTCTACAGCATCTAGCACAATGGGGATTTGTCCATAACTAGGGCTCCTATGTGCTACGATAATGCAAATAAGTAATAATTTTCTATCAAGCTTCATTTTAAACACTTACCTTGCTAGTAAAAAATGAGTAGGCGGACTGGGTGTGTTGCTCCTAAATTGATCTTCTGAGAGGTCTAGATATGAGAAGTTGACATGGGATATCTAATAATAAATAAAATAGACTGTACAGTTTACTGACTCATGCTTGCTTTTTTTTATAAAGCCACACCACCTTTCCAATAAAATGCTTATGGAACTATACAAGAACTGCGGATTTAATCATCACAGTAATTAGTCAAGCTGCCGTTGTTCTAATCACAAAAAATTTTTCCACTTCAGAAAATGCTTTTATACTAAAATGACTTGTTGATGTTCTCTTATAAATGTTTGAGAATAGTAAATAAAGAAATCCATTTAATAAAAAATAGAAAGATTTCTGTCTGGATAGTATCATCTAGAGAAGCAGGCTTTCAATTTTTCCAACAATATTTTTAATGCTTTTCAGAATAGCTCTGAATGACTTCTGTCTCGACTGCAGAGCTTTTCCAGAACGTGTCCGCTTTTTTGGAACAGTTTCCGAAAAAGTGGACGTGTTCTTTCGGCATCCCTGTATTCCTCTCAGTGAGAGGAATAAAGGATGTTCCGAAAGAGGATTTTTTTCCAAAATTGGGCACTGTATAGATGGGCCAAATTTTGGAAAAGCCTCTTTCAGAAAAAAACAGGAAAAGATACGGTTCACAATTTGCAGTTCACAATTTGCATATCTTTTTCTGACTTTTCTCAGCAGTCTAGACATAGCCAATGTATTTAAACAATAGACTTTAAATTCTGAGATGATTTTGTTCCCCATTACACTATAGGCAAAACTCTTGTTTAAAATTTTAAGAATATTTTCAGTGAGATAAGTTTTCATTTATATCTTATAGCTGTAATGCCTTAATTTCTCACAGTTTCTGGTAAGTTTGCTCATTTTTTGACGTGGGGGGGAGTCAGTTGTCCCTCTAACAAAGGCATGTCCAAAGTCCGGCCCGCGGGCCAATTGCGGCCCGTGTTCCGGTTTAATACGGCCCCACAGGTAATTTGGCAATATCTATCTTTTATGGCCCCCAACGAATCCATATGTATTGAGATGAATACATTGTAAAATCTCAGTTAATGTCAGTTGGTCTAAATCAGTTATAAATATATTTGGACACAACATGTATACTTGGTGTTATGTTCCTGTTCATATTTTTTGAACTTAAAAGTTGACAGACAACCTCTATTACCAATAATATGTAATGTACTTTACAATGTTCCTGACATATATTTCAGCTTCCTGGATTTTTTTTTATCTGGCCTTCAGATATGAAAGGCAAAGTGATTTAACACCTGTTTAGATTTGTCATCCATGTGACGAAATGAAAAGTATGCCGTTTGCAATAAACTTTGCATAAAATAGTTAATTTGCATTTAATTTTAATGGTTCAAAGAATGTCAGGCAAAATGGTCGGCCCTCACGCATGTTCACTTCATCAAATCTGGCCCTCTTTGAAAAAAGTTTGGACACCCCTGCTCTAACATTTTCTATGCTTGGGCAGCTTGAATTTTCTTACGTGCACCACCAATATTGAGGTAGTATATCAATGTACACCACCAATACAAACTAAACACACAGTTTATATTTAAACACACACTCTATATATACATATATTTTAAGGAGTCTATATATGTGGAATAAAATATATTAAAAGAAGACACCTAGTGCACTTGGTGACTACAAAGGTACACTTAGTGACTACAAAGGCACTGTACAAAGGTAGGCAATAAGACTTCTTCCCTAGGAGGAAGAGTAGAAGCCCCAGAACAAATTACACGTGGCTCTAGGATTTGTAGACATTTGCATGTTTCAGAGAGCTTGCAAATAAGGTTTCATCCTACAAAACAACTAGCGTCACACCTAGTACTTGCTATTTCTAACTTATAAAAGCCAGAACTCTACCAGATAGCAAAGATCTGGCCTTAATGCAACACAATTTACCACGTATTAATTAGCAACACAGGATTTTTAAAAAGTCATTAAGCTCAGAGTTAAGATATCTGCAACATTCCGAAATATTCTGTTAAAAGAATTAAAAAACAACTGCAACAACAATTGCCGCACCTTAGGACTATTTGCTGTTTTTAAATATTTTTTTAGCTACAGACTAACACAGCTACCCCTCTGAAACTGTTAAAGGAATCTTTTTTTCTTATCTTAGCCATTAACATCTATATGCAAACTTTATATGAAATGCAATCATGCGAATGTCCTAGCGTGTGCACGCACACACACACCAGTCTTTAACCCCGTCCCTCCATACCAACCTATCAGAGAGGACTGCAGTGAGTGAGACACCCCAAACAGACTGCCCCCTGCCTCCACCTCACTGCATAGATGCCAGCACTCAATCATTCCCTCTTTCCCCCACCTGTCCCATGCAGTTCTCTCCTTTACCTCCTCCTTCCCAGCCCAAGAGGATTGAAGAGATTGCTGGGTTTCTGCCTCAACCTCTCTCTTTCCTCTGGCAGATGGGACTTTCCCCCAAGCCAATTAAATACTCCCTCCTCCCAGCCTCTCATTCCTTGCTTATCTCAACTGATTGTCTTCCCTTTCAAGCACATGGCAGGCAGTGTTTAGCTATGGTTTACAGGAGCCCATGCCCGCCAATCAGCTGATCTCCTTGCTAGCGCAGGGAGCTTTGAATCTCCCTGTGGGGCTCAGAACATAGCTGCATAGCCGCTCAGCCACATAGCTTAGAGGGAACTTTAGGGGGTGGGTACTTTTACTAACTACATTTTTTTCTTCTTCTGGGTCATTGCCTTATTGCGGAGTCATTTAAACCAGTGGTTCTCAAACTGCGGGTTGGGACCCCAGTGTGAGTCGGGACCACATTTTTATGAGGTGTCCAGGGCTGATTTAGGCTTTCAGGGGCCCAAGGCAAAGCACAAACCCCACGGTTAGGGTGACTATTTTAGTTCGGTATATTCCCAGAGATTTAATCATATGACATAATCTTTTATGAAAGATTAATCTTTAATTCTTGGGAGACTCCAGGCCAATCCTGAAGGGTTGGCAACCCAATACTGCTCCAGGGCAAAGCAAAACCTGAGAGCGTCAGCCCTAGGTGGGGTTGAAGCCCTTGGGCTTTGCCCCTCCTCCCCACACCTGGGGTCCAGAGGCTTGGTTGGGCTCAGGTTTCAGACTCCTCTCCTGGGCGCATATAGTAACTTTTATTGTCAGAAGGGGGTAGTGGTTCAATGAATTTAGACCATTCCATTGTTGATCATGCTGATTATGTGGGCATGTGGTTTAACTAAAATAAGATGTTTGCATTTCCTAGTTTAAAAAGTAGCTTGAATGTAGGTCAAAGCAATGGCAATGATTAAAGCAGTAACTCATTCTGAAAGAGAATGTTGCTCACAGATGCTTTAGAAAGATGTTACTTTGGAGTGGTGTAAGGTTTTTGTAGTAGCAGGTAGTGAATGTGTAAAGGATTATACTTGGGATAGTGAGGAAAAGGAGATGGTCTGAGGTAAATAAGACAAATACAAAGTACTCTATTTAGGAAGCTCCAATCAGTTTCACGTATACAAATTGGGAAGTGACAGTCTAGGAAGGAGTACTGCAGAAAAGGATCTAAGGGTAATAGTGGACCACAAGCTAAAATGAGTCAACAGCTGTTCCAAAAAAGCAAATATGATTCTGGGATGCATTAACAGGAGTATTGTGAGCAAGATAGGAGAAATTATTCTTTCACTCTACTATACACTGATTAGGCCTCAGTTGGAGTACTGTGTTCACTTCTGGGCACCACATTACAAGAAAGATGTGGAGAAATTGGAGATGGTCCGGAGAAGAGCAACAAAAATGATTAAAGGTCTAGAAAGTGAGGGAAGACCGAAAGAACTGGGTTTGTTTAGTTTAGAAAAGAGAAGCCTGATAGGGGACATGATAGCAATTTTCAAGTGCTTAAAAAGGGTGTTAAAAGGAAGAGGGAGAAAAATTGTTCTGCTTGACCTCTGATGATAGGAAAAGAAGCAATGGGCTTAAATTGCAGCAAGGGAGGTTTAGGTTGGACATTAGGAAAAACTTCCTGTCAGGGTGATTAAACACTGGAATAAATTGCCTTAAGGAGGTTGTGGAATCTCCATCACTGGATATATTTAAGAGTAGGTGGGATAAACATCTATCAGGGATGATCTAGATGGTACTTGGTCCTGCCGTGAGGGCAGGGGACTGAACTTGATGATCTCCTGAGGTCCCTTCCAGTTCTAGTACTCTATGATTCTATAAAGAAAAATGTGACTATATGTGGTAAAAAGTTGGAGATTTTCACTTGATGAGACAAATGCACATTGGAAATAATAGGCCCGTTTGTTGGTTATGTCTTCCTTTCTTGTGTCTACACTATTGTGTGGACACAGACCTGTTGCTTAAAGTCAGGCAGTGTAAACACTGTCTGCACTTTTGCCTACCAAAAAAACAAAACAAAAAAACCCTTCCCAGTCCCACAAGCTGTGTTTTGCTTTGTTGGCAGGAGAGCATTTCTGTGGACAAAACACTGTTTGATCTACTTGCCACAGCAAAGCTTTTGTCATTGGGGTGGAATTGAAGCACCTGTGAACAACAAAAACGTTGTGGCTTAATTGCCAGTGTAGACAAAGTCTATTCTGTGGATAGTTATAACTTTATACTATGGAACTGAAATGCACACAATATTTATAGTTCAGAAATCTCCATTATCTACTGTTGGCAAATGTTCTTCCTCCCTGAGTCCTTAAACTTCAGTGACTCTCTGTCAACACTAATAACAGTATACTTAGTCCTTTCCTTTTTACCTATGGATCTCAAAGTGTTTCAGAAAAAGTGGGTAAGTAGTATCATTCCCATTTTGAAGTTGGGGAAACTGTGTTACAAAGAGGTTAAAGACCTTACACGTTAACCACATAAATGAGACATTTTGATTCATTTCAGTGAAGCCAAAGTATCTTATCCAAGTTTACAAAGTGAGTCAACAGCAGTACTGAGAATAGATCCCCAAAATGCAGTTTTCAAATGAGGTCAGCATTTGGCCTAACTTGTTTCCATTGAAGGCAGTGGTGAAACTGCCATGATTTCTCTGGGGACCAAGTTAGGCCAATAAATAAGGGTACGTCTAGACTACCGCGTTTTGTCGACGGAAGTTTTGTCAACAGATACTGTCCGACGGAAGTTTTGTCGACAGATACTGTCGACAAAACTTACGTCGACAAAGAGCATCCAGACACATTGAGTTCTGTCGACAAAGCAAGCTGCTTTGTCGACAGAACCCTGTAGTCTGGACGCAACGTTACAGGCAATAACACCTTCTGTCGACAGAAGGTGTTTTGCCTCGTAAAATGAGGTATACCAGCGTCGACAAAACTGCTGAGTTCTGTCGACGTTATGTCGACAGAACTCAGCGGTAGTGTAGATGCTGGTATAGTTTTGTCGACAAAAGTCCACTTTTGTCGACAAAACTAGGTAGTCTAGACACACCCTAAGGCTATGTCTAGACTGCAAGCCTCTTTCGAAAGAGTGCGTCTAGACTGCACGCAGAATTTCGAAAAAGCAAGACGCTTTTTCGAAAGAAAGCACCCAGTGAGTCTGGATGCTCTCTTTCTAAAAAGCCTGTTTGCTTTCAAGAACGCCTTCTTTCGAAAGAGCACTTTCGAAAGAAGGCGTTCTTCCTCGTGGAATTAGGTTTACCACCGTCGAAAGAAAAGCCGCATTCTTTCGATTTAATTTCGAAAGAACGCGGCTGCAGTCTAGACGCAGGTGAAGTTTTTTCGAAAAAAGTCTACTTTTTTCGAAAAAACCCCTGAGTCTGGACACAGCCTCAGTGTCCAGTGCCCAGTCCAATAGACTCTACTATCTCCCATCTGTGCTTTCCATAATGGTGCTAAAGATGAGTTTTGTCTAATTTACACTGTCAGATTATTTTATTGCTCCAATTCAGCATGAACCTCTGTTGTTAATAGCTATAAGAAATGAGTCAATTTCTTAGTGTAAATAATATTCAGAGTGGCACTCCTGTCCCTTGCATGGAATGTTAGCCCTTAAAATATTGTCACCATTTTAATTATTTTTGACTGCCTCTAGTATTGATGGATTTTAGCACGACACATACTTGTGTCTCAGTTGGATTAGCAATATTAGACCTCTAAATATTTCTTCCTGTTGGTTTAGTACTTTGGAATATGAATATATTTGATTTTTCTAACTAATAATTGTTGGGACCTCTGATACCTGACTTTGATAATAGCTTGCTATGAGATTCATATCATGTTGCCTTTAATAAGTTAAAATAGTGGAAAGTTTTAGTATCTTTTAAAAAGGTTTGATTTCCTGTCCATGAAGTTATATATGTGTTTGTTGAGCATGATACCAAGGGAAAAAATGCTTAGCCATGCTTGTTTGCTCTTATAGGTGTGTTCTCCATTTCTTGAGCTTTTATTGCTGTAGAAGAGTAACTGATACCAGGTGAAATATAGTAAATTGTCACGTTGTAATTTTTTTTTAAGGCTATGATATGCCCATATTGTGCCATAGTGTACTTCATTGGTTTCCTTGTATATTTCTCAGTTTAGCTGAGTTTATGCAGGTTTACTTCATAGAGAGGAAGCCACAAGAGTTCCCACTGTGACAAGTTGAAAGAAGTTTAACAAACAGAAGATAGATTTATTCCTGTAAATACTTTAGTTATTAAAATATGCAAGATGATATTTGTTAATATAAGCAACATATGGGGATGACTGGCATTTGCAGTACAGTACGTGCAAGTTGATAATGTCTCCCCCTGTGACCAGGAGCTCAGATGGAAACCAAAACCCTACAAAAGACATGAAACTGAGTTCTTACATTAACACTCCCCTGTCCTTATGCTGGTATGTCCCTCTGCCTCTGCTAACTTCCGTACCATTGCGCTGATATTCTCCCCATTCCCACCCGGAGTAACAGAAAGCAAAACCCACTGGCCCTGCCCTGCTGGTTTCAGAAGTGCATCAGCTCAGGTGGCTCCCCGGCCAAAGTAGTTCTTATTGTGACTGAGGCAGCCAGTGTGGCTTCTTGGACCAAGCAGTGCCCTCTGCAACCAGGATTATGTGGGCACTGGGTGGTGGTTGGGTGCTGCTGGGAGCCGTGTGCGTCACCTGTCCCCCACCCTGGGCTGATAGCTGCATGGGCCTGATTAAATAACTTTTTCAAAATATTTTGCAGGCCATATTGGGGGAGTGCTCAGGTCACAGATGGCCCACAGGTCAGAAGTCTGAGACCCCTGCTATATGATATCATGAATAAATATATAAAGTAACCCCTCCATTGTGACTCTAGAATCAAACCTGCCATTATATCATGGTAGTTGTTCAAATGGCTTCTCCCAAACTGTTGTGATCTTAAAACTAAACATTCTGTTTGTCATCCAGTACATGCTGTGTTTTTGTTTCTGCTGCTCCTCATTGGTTCCTCTGAAAATTCCGTAACAGTCGTGGGTGATCCTCATAATATATGACACTTTTCTTCTTTTGAGATGTATCTTGTAATATAAATATTTTTAAAATATTATATTAAAAGATTGATAAAGTTGTTCAGGTAAGCTTAACTCAGCCCTTTTGTGCATATTCATTTTCATACAGCCTTTTACTACAAGATCACTGCAAATTCAATGTAAGTGCACTTGTATTCCCCCTCCATGATCTACCAAGGACAACAGCTTAAAAGTTTTCTCTCTTGGGTGGAGACCAGTGTCTCTCTCATACTTGGCCAGAGGTTTTTTTTCTGGCTATACAGTTCCCTTCTTATACTGTGTTATTCCCTGTAAGCCAGATGGCCTAAACAGCCAACATCTGCACTTTACTTTTTCCTAAGGGGCTATAAACAGCCTCATTACCCACTATTGTAATACACAGGCCTTTCTAAGTAAGCACGTTTATGCTTAAGCTAAAAGCATTACAGAGAAGATGTATTAAAAACAAAAAATAACTCTCACAAATAATAAACTTATCAGTGACTAGTCACAGCTCCAACCAGGGCTCTTGTAGGCATTCATACAGGGAAGTTTCTGTAGTCACAGGTTCCTAACAAGAACACACATGAATAAGTCAGTTTCTTCTATCTACAGATTTGATTTTTTTATATTCAAATGCCAGGAACAGGTGTTAAGTAGACAATGGGTTCTCTCTTCAGGGTCTAGCTTCAAAAGGTTGGATCTGGAGGTGGGAATTTGAAATTGGTTCCTTTGGTACTTCATAGGAAACCCACTTAATATGGCCACAAAATTCCTCCTTGTTGAGACCATTGCTTAAAGTGGTCCTTTTGAAATTTGTAACTCTTCCCAGTATTTCTATTAGCTGTGCTCTTCACACACACACCCCAAGAAATTATGTCCAATCCTGCAATAATATATAAATTTTGCATTTGATACAACAGACTCCTAAAGTTTCTTAAACTTAATTTCATAAGGTTTCTCAAAGTCTTTATTGTGGGAAATTGACCTATTTATCACAATAATTGCATGCTATTTTTTCACTGGGATGAACAGTGCTCACTGAATTGATAGCTACTTAATATTTCTTTTTATTTTTCTCATTCAATGTGTGGTCATGCATTATTTACTTCTCACCATTACTTACTCCCTTTTATCCAGACTCTGTCCTGAATATAGAATTATTAATTTCTACATGGACTTTTCTGTGGTGATCTTGAAATATTGTGAGTTTTGGCAATGCTGTGGATAAAGGCCACTAACACTAATATATTAATTTCAGTGGAAAAAAAGTATATTAACACAAATTTTAAAACATTGAGGTGAATGAAACCAGTGCTCAGTTGAGATTGTCCATGTAATATTAATTCTGCCCTCTTTTAGCAGTGTCTCAATATGCCTCTTTATTGCACATACCTATATTCTGCTAGCCGTTCTGTACATCTCTCACAGAGGTAGCGTTATTATGTCAGTGTAGTGCAGGGGTGACCAGCCTAAATCTGAGCAGGGGCTAGAATTTACCTATTCACATTGCCAAAGAGCAACAGTTCTATGTCACCAGCCCTGATCATCTCCTCACCACCACTCTCAGCACATCCCGCCCACTGGCAGCCACAGCAGTCAATGCCTCCTTCTCCTTTTCCTCCTGCCCACTGTGATCAGCTGTTTTTCAGTGGGAGAGACTGAAGAGGGGACGCATGGGTGTGACAGGCTCAGTGGAGAGGGTAGGAAGTGGCAGGATCCTAGGAGAAAAGGGTCTAGGGCAGAGCTGGGGGTTGAACAGTGCTCACCCTCCGGCCCAGTGGAAAGTTGGCACCTGTAGCTCCAGCCCTGGATTTGGTACCCATGTAAGGAGCCACATATTAACTTCTGAAGAGCTGCATGTGGCTCTGGAGCCACAGTTTGGCCACCCCTGGTTTAGTGGGTGAGTTCTATTGGTAGGAGCTACATTTTAGTGTAGACCCTTACACAATCTTACGTTGACTTAATTCTGTACCAAATGTGTAGTGTAGACTGGGGCTAAATGTTGAAGTAATAGTTGGGCTTGCTTGGTAAAGGAGTGTTTTTAATATGAGAATTAAGTGGATTACTTCAGGGTGTGTGACAGAGCTATGATTATGATTTGAGAAGATTTAGGTTTTGCACTCTTTGTGTGAGAGCAAAGGAAAGAGTATGCAGAATGCATCAGTGTAATGAAGAATTGTGTGGGTTATATAAGTAGGCGAGCATAGGGCTGTTATTCCATTTCCAAGGAATCTGGCTAAGCATGTCAATTTTAGAGGCCTTTAGAAAGGTCAGTCTTTAAACTAGGTATGTAACAATACAGTCAATTAACCGATAAGCAAAGCTTATCAATTAATGCTATTGACTACATGCATTTTCTCCTTTCTCTCCCTACCGGTAAATTTTCTAGCAGGCTGGCCAGCAGCCCAGCTCAGTCCTGGCTTATACCAGCCAGGGACCTACCCCTGCTGCGGCTCTCCATATAAAGTGTATTGGGAGCGAAGCAGGCAAGCAGCCTGGCTCAGTTCTGGCTCTCGCTGGGACCAGGAGTTCAAACCCCACCTTCCGGCCCCCTAGATGGGGACTGCTTCCACCCCTGCGCTTCTGCTTCTGTATCTGAGGCAACAGTGTGGAGCAACAGGCAGCCACTCCATGAGGGGAGCTGATTTTTAAACTGGCTATGCTTGTGGACCAGCTCCCATTTGGCACCCCACACTGCTGCCTCTGATACAGAAGCAGAAGTGCAGGGGTGGAAGCAGGAATACAGAGGCAGCAGCACAGAGTGGCAGGGGGCTCCTTGGGAGTGGGGCTGGAGTGCACTGGCTTCTAGCCCTACCCTGGAGACTATAGAATAGTTGAGTAACTGGTCAAAAGTAATTAGGTTAATTGATTATTCAGTTAACCAATATTTAACATGCCTGTTTTAAACAGATGTTGTTTACACAACTTAATTGTTGTGGCACAACTGATCTACTATAATAAACTACTAACAATTGTATTTGATAGATCAAGTGCACTATTTGTGGCTTGATATGGGTGGGATAATATATGATGCTATGATTTACCTGTTTTTGAATAAATAAAATGTCAGCCTTAGTGTTAAATACACAAGAAAGTTTTTAAAATATATTCTACTACATTAGTACTAGGGATGTAAGTCACTAATCAGATAGTTGACACACTAGTTGACTAGTCGCTTCCCCCGTCCCTGCTGCCTCTAACTGAAAGAGGCAGCAAGGGGGGAGGAGAAGTGGGTGCTGGGGGAGCCAGCTTACAATCCAGCTCCCCCCAACTTCGTGGAAGGGGTAGAGGTGCAATGGTAGAGTTCCACATTTGAAATGTACAAGAGTCCCCCGCTGGCCCCAGGCTCCACGTGGTATTTCAAACTGGGGCTCTTATATGTTTCAAAGTGAAAGTGCCCTGCTGGGGCTCTTGTATGTTTCAAAGCGGAAGTGCTTCATGACCCCAGGTACCATGCCCTGTTTCAATCTTTGAAATGTACAAGAGTCCCTGCTGGGGCTCTTGAACATTTCAAAGGCAGGAGGCTGCCGGGCACTTCTGCCTTTGAAATGTAGCAACATCCCAGCTGGCTCTTGCTATATTTCAAAGGGGAAGCACCCTTTTTGACTAGTTGATTAATCTAATTTTCACGTCCCTAATTAGTAGTTAGGCTACATTAGAAAGGAGTAGGACATTACAAATGTCACTGAGATAAAGCTTGACTCTTCTTCTCTAGCACTATGGGAAAATTATGAAAGCATGTAGATTGGGCCTTTAGATGTTATGATTTAAAAAAAGAAATAGTTTGGTCACTAGTGCATCACCTTACATACTATTGATATCTTTCATATACTGCATTCAACTTTTTTATTTTCTGTTTCAGGGTAGAGTATCTGCAGCAGAGACATCAATAATGCTTAATTATTAGACGGGAACATTTTATTTAATAAGAAATCAAAGATTTTGAAAACTAATTCACTATAGAATTAAATTTCTTTTGTAGAAGCCTGTTCATTGTAAAACAATTTATTAAAAATTACTCGAGTTTTCTTGGCATTTAGGGGAAAAAACTGGCTTAACTTATCAACACACATTTTTTGTTGAAGGCAGGGAGACTGTGATTTGAAATATTCAGTATCAAAATAAATCTATATAGTCCTTGTAAGCATTCTGGGAATATGTGCTTTTAATTCATGGGCGCCTATACAGGAATTTATTTAGATGGCTTCATTGTCTTTGGTATTAATGTTAATGGATTATGAAGGACATTCCATCCATTCCTTAGAAGAATGATTGTAGGTGTTTATATGCTGGCAATAGGAGAAGAAAAAGTGTTGTAAATGGAGGAATACTTTGTGGAAAATGAGGCACTTATGAAAAGAGCCCAATTCCATTGTTGTTTTACCTGTATGTCGCAACCTTTTTAGCATGGAATATGACTCAATATTATATAACTGTTGAGAAACTAAATTTTAATAATTGCATTGATTATTGAATTCATGATATCTTATAGGCGCAGCTGGTGGATCTGAAATCTGAACTGACAGAAACTCAGGCTGAGAGAGTAGTACTGGAAAAAGAGGTGCACGATCAGCTTTTACAACTCCATGCCATTCAACTTCAGCTGCATGCCAAAACTGGTCAGAGTGTTGATTCTGGGGCAATTAAAGCAAAATTGGTGAGTATCATAGATTAAAGGGAAAAAAATCAAACTACACTATTTTTAATCCAGGTGGTGATATGTTAATATTGTTGGCACAAATTTACTAGAACATCATCTTTGAAATAAACAAATACAGGTTGAAGCTCTCTCAACTGGGACAGTGGTCTGGCAACATACGTAGACCAGCAGGACCACAGATGATCCAGGGCTAGAGAGTCCCGGTGGAAAGATGGTGGCTGGGAGCCCTGCAGATTGGCGGGGCAGCAGACTGTGAGGAGCGGGGATGCCCAGTGGGGCTCAGAGCCTCGCGTATGGCAGTGGAACTGCCTGGCATGGCCGGGAAGCAAGTGGCCAGGCCAGGGCTGGGGAGGGAGGGGAATGCTGGTGGCAGAAGGGGCCAGAAATGACCTCCCCTGGTGCAGCAAAATCCCTTATTTGGGACTGGTCAGGTCCTGAGGGTGCAAAACCAGGCAAGTGTCCAACCTGTATATTAGGGATGTTAAATTGTGGTTATCTGACTAATTGTGTAATTGATATTTGTATCGATTACATGAGTAGTTGATAAGTACTGCTCTGCAGAGCTGCAGCGGGGGTAGCTCCAGGAGCTGGCTCAAGCCGGGACTGAGAAGTCCTGGCTTGTGCTGGCTCAAGGAGCCACGTGTGCTATGGCTCTGCATTTTAAAGTAATAAGAGCTGCTTGGCCATGGCCAAGGGCTGCTACCAGAGTAGCCCCTGGGGGCAGCCATGAACAGGGGCTGCTTAGCGGCAGCCTCTGCACGCGGTGAGCTTCGGCCTGCTGTGGGCACAGGCTACTTCACAGCAGCCTCCCCTACCCTTCCCTGCTGCCTTTGATAGAGGCAGCAGCTGGGAGGTTGGGGCAGGTAGCACCATGGAGTGGTGCTGGGGGAACCTGCTTTTAAGCCAGCTCCCCACAGCACTGGCTCCTGTTCTCCCCTCCCCCACTTTACTGCCTCTCATAAAGGCAGCAGGAGCCGGGGGAGGGCACGGGGGAGAGTGCATAGTCCATACTCTAGTCAGCTACAGGCAGTCCCCGGGTTACGTACAAGATAGGGACTATAGGTTTGTTCTTAAGTTGAATTTGTATGTAAGTCGGAACTGGCTCCAGATTCAGCTGCTGCCACTGAAACTGACCAGGGGCTGACTACAGGAAGCCGGAGGCAGAGTT